ACCAGCGACCAATTGCCTCACCCGGGAAGAGCGCAATGATCATACCAACATGGGCCAGTGAAGCGACGTCATCCACAACTAGACTGAAGAACAAAAACAGCAATTTGTCTACCTGCCTGTTCCCCTTCCCCGATTCCCCAACGCTGTTCCCCTCCCCCCAATTCCCCAATAAAATCTTTAAAAAAAAAGATTCTCATTAAATATGTACGTGTTGCATTCATGATTGTATGTGCTGTTTCTAACAAGATAGAAATGAGAACGGAGTCCTCTACGGACAATCCTGCACTTCTGATGAATGGAAGAATGTCCCAAAGACCGGTCCCCAGTGCCATGCGTTTGTCCCCACAGTGGAAACTTGTGGCACAGGCTCTAGGGCACGTTTTTATCAGGACTCGGCCTTTGGGCAGGGAGTGCCCCTGGATGCCAGCCCTGTACCAGCATGGCACATACAAGGGACTGAGAATGCACAAGGTGCACAGCGCCCAAACCAAATGGACCCCTCACTCAGTTTCCCCTCGGCTGGATCCCATAAATATGTGGCACCCCAGCCTGCTCAGTATGAGACAATGGGGCAAGTCAGAATGGAAAGAGAAAGTGATGTTAGCTGATGTGGTAAACGCTTCCTTCTGCAAATTTGACAAGACCCTATGACGCAGAGGCTGTATTTGGAGGGCTTCCCTGGATGTCCCAGAGGGGCTGACACATGTGGGGGCTTCAGCCTGTGCACTGAACTCCCAGAGGGAGGGCGGCTGGGACAGACTTCCCCCGAGCCAGACGCTGCACGCAGCACGTATGGATGGGACCCGAAGTCACACCGCTGGCTTTTCTCTCTGCTGACACAGCAGCGTGCCAGCAGAACTGCCAGGAGCCTGGCAGCGTAACCCTCCAGCCCAGCTCTGCTATAAGTGGAGGCCCTTTCCAGGGCCTGTCCTTCTCCATTCTTCCCCTTATTTCTTCTTAAAGTATAAATCACCTGTGTACAACCTTATTGCCTCATATTTCCACTCAGACTTGTGTCATGCCCATCTAGTTTGGCTGCTGTCTCCTTGATGTGCTTTTGGGAGCAGGTCCTGGTCTGGAAGTCCTGTGACCTGCTGAGGTCTGTTAGTGCTGAGCAGTCCCTCTCCTGAGGTTTTTTTTTTAAACTTTATAAATAAGTGTGTGGCTTCCCTGTGAAAGGAAACCAGGATCCCTGGGAAAATGCCGGACCCAAGGTCTGAGGCAGGGAAAAGCAAGGTCAGCCTGGGTGACTTGTGCCAGAAAGCAGAGTTCAAACCTGAGTGGGCTGTTCCGAAGGGCGCAGCTCGGCACCAGGGCCCCCAGCGGACTTGGGTCAATGTAAGTGTCAAGAACAGCAGTGACAGGTAGTGAGGAGTAGAGTGAAGGGATAGCATGAGTCACTAACAGTCAAGCCGTTAGTTCCTATTATAAAATCAAGTAGGCGGGGCCCGAGGAAACGGTCCTGCTTCTGCTCCAACTCGCCTAGGGACTGAAACCTGTGAGCTGCCAGTCCTGCACAGTGCCCAGCTGTGCCTCAGACCTCCAGGTGACCCGGATGGCCCCTAGGGCCTGAGGACAGACAGAACGTGCACGTATCCAGACCACCCGACAGCCAGAGGATCGCCATCGCAGCCCAGTCCAGAGGCTACGAATGCAGGACTGAGTCTTCTCAAGAGTTTACTTTTTACTCTAAGAACGCGTAGCTTTTCTTCCTTCTTCGGAACACTCTGGGTACTGCCTAGCTGTGTTTGGGTTTGCAAACCCGAAGACCACCTCCCAGCCCTGTGCCACCTCCCATCCCTCTGCCACTTCCCCAGCCCTCTGCCACCTCTCCTGCTCTCTGCCACATCTGAAGTCTTGGCTCAGCTCTCAGCACCCAGTGGCTGGTCTCTCCTAGGCCCCTTGTCTCATTCTGCCAGGACCGGCTACAGTCCAGGGCAAAATGAAAACTCAAAGACTTATTCAAAAGTCACAAAGAGTTTCACGATGGCAACACTGGGCGTTCCCCCAGCGCAGACCTTTCTGCGGGTGGGTCCCATGTGACTTCAAGTTACATCCCAGGGGTGGGCTCAGAAGGCAGGTGGATGGTCAGTGCCTTTCCGCAGTGGGTCAGTGAGAACGAGGGCGCTCAGGTCTCCGTCCTACAGAAGCTGGTCTGGAAGATGAAGCTCTGCAGCAGCGGAAGTGTCATGGTGAAAGTGTACCTGCTGAGTCCAGCTGTCCCCAAGGACCTGGTGGCCCTTCCTTCCCAAGCTAGTTCCGAGTGGACTGTTGTCACCTGCAGCCTGAGTCGTGGCTGATGCAGCATGCAATGCAAAGGGGTAGAGCAGAGCCCCCCAGCCAGAACAGTCGGGGGTTGGAGGCTGGGGAAGGTTGTCAGCTAACCCCTGCCCACCCCCAGGGTCATAACTGAGAACGTAAACGCGGACAACTTACAATTGAATGAAAATAAAAACATGAGCTTTAAGTAGGGTCAGTTAGGAAAGGGGTGCAGACCTATGATTCTACTATGTCAGGTTCAAGGACAGTTCCAAAGACAGGGGAAATTAGCCAGGACAGTGGTGGCTGCAGGGAGAGGAGTGATGGAAATGTGTCCTGACGGCGGATCCCAGGTGGATGACCTCACAGAAGTCATTGAACTCAACCTCTGTGCATTTCACTGCACGCTGACTTAAAAAAATACATGGGTCAGGCAAGTGGCCAAGAATTCCCAACGTAAGAGGCAAATTGAAAACAGAAAAACCAAAAGGCATCCATAGTGCTGGGCCAGTCAAGCCCGTCCTTGGCCCTGTCCCGACACTTTTCTCTCCAATGACTGCCCTGACCACCTCCTCTCACTGACCACCTGGGTCACAGGCACCTCGTGCCTGTGGCAGGCAGGATGGACTGTCTCCGTGGCCACCCAAGCGTGGACGGGTGGTGAGGAGAGGGCTGCAGTGGGGAGAGCTGAGAGACAGAGGTGGGAGCCCAGAGCAGGAGCAGGTTGGGAATGGGGCCGTGGGGGCCAGGAGCTGCCAGAAGCACGAGAAGCATTGCTGTAATTCTTGCAGTGCTTGCTAGTGTTCACCTGAGCCATTAGGCCTGTACTTTTCTGTGGTGAGGCCTGGCCACTGATTTAATTTCCTTACTCATTAGGTTCATTTGCTATTTCTTCTTGGGTCAGGTTGGGTGATTTGTATGTCTAGAAATTTGTTCATCTAGGTCAGGGGTCAGCATACTGTGGCTTGCATGCCACATGCGGCTTTTTGGGTACGTTCTGTCTCAAAAGTTTGCCAACCCCTGGAAGAGCCAATCCTGTAAATCGAATAATTTAAAAATTATTCGAGAGCCATAAATATATTTTTACAAATAAAGAAAATTTAAATTAATATTATAAATGAAACTATGAGTTTTATTTTCATTTTCAATTTTACTTCAGAGCCACATGTACGTACCCAAAGAGCCGCATGTGGCTCGTGAGCCGCAGTTTGCTGACCCCTGGTGGCTCTTCCGTCTCAAGTTTGCCGACCCCTGATCTAGGTGATCTGATTTATTGGCACAAAGTTGTTCTCTTATCCTTATTTCTGTAAGGTCGGTAGTAATTGCCCCTTTATTTCAGAGTTTAGTCATTTGTCTTCTTAGTCAATCTAACTAAAGGTTTGTTCCTTGCTGCTTCTCACAGGAATGTGTGCTTACTTCTCACCTCAGCCTCTGCCTCCATCTTCATCTTCCCTCCTGCACTGCTTCTTTTTCTAGTTCTTCCAGGGGGCGGTGTTAATTGGTTTGAGGTCCCCCCACCCTGTATTTAGTTACAGCTATAAATGCCCCTTGCATTTTCATGCATCTCGTAGGTTATGTATGTTGTTTTGTTTTCATTCGTCTTAAAGTGTCTTGTGATTTCTTCAGACCCTCTCTGGCTGTTGGAGTGTTAATTTCCACACATGTATGAATTTTCCTTGCCCTTCTATTACTGACATCTAGCTTCACTCTACTGTGTTTCTCATGATTTCAGTCTTTTCAGCTTATTGGGATGTGTTTTGTGGCCTCACCGGTGACCTATCCTGGAGTATGTCCCCTCCGCTCTGGGACTGTGCAGTCTAAATGTAGCTGGCATTTTGGTTTTTAATTGTGTAGTATGTGGTACATATGAGTAGGACGTGACCCACACTAACCGCTCCAACCCACCACTCCCCTAGGGATCCGAATGCCACCAACAGCTTCGCTCTCCTCGACACCCTGTCCATCCCAAGGGGAAGCACAGCAGGAACCCGGCGAGCCTCCTGCACAGCTGGTGTCTGGTGTCTAGCTTCAGAACGGACGTCTCCTGCAGAGCTTCCAGTCCCTTCCTCTGTCCCGGTTGCTCGGTGTCCACGGGGACGTCAGGGCCGTGGTCCCTGTCCCCCTGCGTGCTGCCACCGCTCAGTCCTCTGTCCTTTTTGCCCCTCGGCTGAGTAGCTTGCAGCCTTGTGCTCATCTCCCGATCTCTCCATTCCCCCCAGAAGCACCTCCAAAGCAACAGGCTGGGACGCGACCATGCAGTGAGGCCACACGTGGGACCCCGACCCGGCAGAAAGGAGGCCGGGGTGGGGGTGCTGGGCCTGTCCCACCGCACCGCAGCCCTGCGCGCCTCTGCGCTGGGCTTCAGGGCAAACCCGCCTGGACCTCAGGTGCCCCGCCCATGCAGCGCAGGGGTGTGGAGCTGGGATCCCAAAATGCCAAGGGCAACCCAGAGATGCCCGGATCGGGCACTCCTCTCTGCCCCCCCCCCCGCTGCCACAACGCTGGAGAAGGTGGGGGGCAGCCAGCACGGGCGGAGGGCCCTGCACCCGCTTTCCTCCGGGTCCCTCCGCAGGCCCGGCACGCCCACGCGACACGTGGTGGCAGAGGTGTCTCCCGGCGTAGCAACACTTCACAAAACAGCTCTCCAACCGAAGCCAATTTGGAAAATTCCAGGGACGCGGCAAAGTACCGAGGCCGGGGCTGGCCCGGGGGCAGAGCGGCGCTCAAGGAGGACCGGCGGCCACCGTGGGGAATCCTTTAATGGAGGGGGCAGGCGGGGCGGCGCCCCACCGGCGCGGCACAGGGGTGGGTGGGGGAGAGGGAACACGGGAGTTGGCTTTAAAAACGCGGCGGGGCTGACTGCACGTTTACAAGGACACCCAGGCTGGGGAGCGCCCGCAGGACCACCGCCCACGGCATCCGCTCCAAGCAGTGTGCTGCACCTCAGGCTCTGCCCGCAGCCGGGGGGAAGGGGGACCCAGGGAGGCCGCACGGGTTTTGGGGTCATCGCCGGACACACGGAGGTTCTGGGGGCCCGCAAGGCGGGCCGGGCTCCGAGGGGCAGGATTTGGGTGAGGGTGAGGGTGGGGGGCCTGCAAGGTCAATGGCAGTTATGGGGGCGTGGCCCGGCCCAGAGGGGGCGGGGTGTGGATGAGGGGCGGGGCCGGCGCTGGGGATGGGCTGGGCTGGGCTGGACGTGGTCTCCTGAAAATCCCTTGCAGCCGCCAGCTGGGTGAGGGCAGGGCCACTGCCCGGGTCCCCTCCCAGCAGGGGTAGGGCAAGCGGCTCCAGGTGTGCAGTGGGGCTGGGCAGGATCAGTTGTTCTCGAAGAGAGACAGCAGGTCATCGTTGCTGTTCGCGGGGAGGTCAGGCGGGCCCAGGTAGGACAGCAGCTCATCAGGGTTGGTCAGTTCTGGGAGCAGCTGAGGACGAAACAAACTGGCCTTGGACCTGCCTCGCCCCTGCGTGGCCACCCTGCCCCCACATCCCAGCCAGGTCTGGGGTGAGCTGGAATGTAGGGCATCCCCTTCCTCCCACAGGTCTGACACCTGAGGCTCTCAGTCTGCAGGGAGGGGTTCTCCCTGCAGAGGCAACTCTGGGACCAGGAATCACTCATGACAAGTTGCCCAAGGTCAACAGGGACACGAAGTACCCATCTCCAGTGGGGTCCTAGCGCAGGGGAAGCACAAGACTGTGAGGGGACCCCAGTGTGTCAACAGGGCAATGTAGGAGGTGGGACCCCAGTTCCTATGATTTTCTGCTTTAGGCAGAAAAGTTCATGTTGAACTTGAGTTGAGTTTCGTTTATTATGGTCAAGGGCTGTCACCCGTCTTTTATGCCTGAGTTGGACAGGTGAAATCAGACCCTAAGGCTGGTATCATCAGCTGTGAGCCCACTCTTCTTGGGGACTCTGCACATGCCACCATGGCGCCCAGGTCCCCAGAGCTTTCCTTGGGTCTGGAAGTCAGAATGTCAGTGTTCTCCCTTTTATGAAACGTGTGGACCCAGGAAGGGCAGAAAAAGCAACCCCCACCCGCCCAGGATCCGTAGCAGGCAGCTTGGTACTCACATCCAGGGCCGGTTCTGGGGCCTCCCCTGCCCCAGACAAGGGGGGGCCCATCACGCCTGTGGCTGCGTTGAAGGCCAGCTCGCCAACCGGACCTGAGCTCACTGGACCCAGGGGCTGCCGGGATGCTGGGGGAGGGTTCGGATGGTGCAGCTGGGGCCCTGGGGGGCCTCCAAGGTTGGGTGTGTGGAGCCCCGGCGGCCCTGGGTTGTGGGCTAGGTCCAGGTGACCCGCTGGCGCCATCTGAGGAAGGAGAGATGTGGCTGGTGAGACGGCCCAGGGGCTGCGAGGGGGAATCTCCCCTCCGCCCTTATGTCCGGCACTGACCTGGCCTGGGAGGCAGGGAGCGGACTTCTCTGGCGTCAGGAGGCTGCTGGGAATGTCGGACTGGTAGGAGATGGGGGGTGGCCCCGGGGTGAACTCGGGAAGGGATGGGGTGCTGGCTGTGGTGGGCGGGAAGGAGTCAGGGTAGGTCCTGGGTCCCAGGAAGCTGGAACCTGAGAGAGGAGAGCCAGGTCCTGGGTGGGGCCCCACAGAGGGCAGGCCGGCCGCGGCAAGGGCGGGACCGGCGCGCTCACCCACAGGGACACTGGACTTCACGTTAGTCACTATTCGGAAAACGCTTTTTCTCGTTGCTGCTGGGGGACTGGCCAGCTGACATTGTGCACAGGCCATGAGGGGGCAGGAGGACCCTATACCCACGCGGGGTCCGACGCGGCCAGTTCAGGGGTGCTGCACTCACCCTGGCCGGGGTAGTCGCCGGGGGCCGGGGCGGAGGCGGACTGCAAGGGGGCGAAGGGGGCGGGGCCCGGCCCCAGCGCGGCGATCATGTCCATCACGCTGGGCACGAGCGCGTGGGCGGGGCTCACGCTGCGGCAGCGCTTCAGCGCCGGCCCGTCCGCCTCCTCCTTGACGTGCACGTCCGGCTTCACCGGCACCGGCTTCCAGCTGCACGTGGGGTCGATGGTGATCTCCTCGCAGTCAGAGCTGCGGCAGGGACAGAGGGCTGTCACCACCCGTCGTGCCGCCTCTTGGCCCCGGGGCAATTTCTAGGCAGACCTTGCACTCAGATGCACGTGCCATGTGCCGGAGGGATGCCGGCTGGGCGGGAGGCGCATTCTGTTGGCGGCCTGGCACCGAGCCGCCCCACAGTGGTCGGCCGGGGCGCCTCCCCACCATCCCGGGCCGCCCGCGGCGGAACACAGACGCTGGCAGGTGGGAGGGAAGGCTTACTTCTGGATGTAGACTAGGATGCCCAGCATATACTGGTCCACCTCCAGGCCCTCCAGCAGCGCCGTCTTGCTGTGGAAAACAAGGGCGTGACCCAGCCTCACCCTGGGCACAGGCCTGCCCCTTCCCAGCCGTCATTGCACGCACGAGGCAGTCCAGTGTGAGGTCACTGGTGTGAGGGGAGTGTGCGTGGAGACTGCGTGAGGACTGAGCTGCACCGTCCTAGTGTGTGCTGTGCCCCCCACCCCCCAGGCTGTGCCGCTACCGCCAGCACCCACGTGGGGACCGTCCTTAAGACACTCACTTGCACACGGGGCACCTCCAGGTCCCCCGCTCACAGTTGAGCTGCAGGTAGGACTCCAGGTCGAAGCACTGTGGAGGGGACACCATTTCTCACACTGGCCTGGGGCGACCTGGCCACACCCTGCCACCCAGCCGTGCTTCAAGACATGAGCTCCTTTCCTTGTGTATCTGAGAAGCCAGGGGCACCCGGCTCTTGCTAAGGCGTTGCCCCAATGAACCAGGACAGGACAGCTACGCAGCCCTCACTGGGACTGGAACGCCATGGGCAAGACTGGGCAGCTGTGCCAACAGGGAGCCAGCGCCAGATGTGGTGTTGACAGAAGGGGCAGGGCACGGGGCATGTACACGCTGCTCAGGTGGTCACATGGGCGGCTGGTGTGCACTTGTCCAGAGATAGAACCTATGTGATGCTCTTGGGGGCGCAGGAGGGACACCGCACCCATGTCCTCAATGCCCGTCAAACCCGGAGCCTTCTGAGTGCAGTGGCTGCTATGCTTAGAAGAAATAGAAGCCCCTCTGAGGGGACAGCAGAGGGGACAGCAGAGGAGCCAGCCACAAGTCATTTGCCAGCCACGGTGCTCAGACTCTCAGCTGCTAAAGATAGGTAGACGGTGGCCATCCTGGCAAAGCCTGCGGTGACCACCCACCTGTATGTGGCGACAGTCATGGCCACGGGCAGGGAGCTGGATCCTGCGGAAGGTGACGGGGCACTTGAGGGACACCTTGATGGCCGTCTGTTCCACCCCATCCTCTCCGTTGGGCCCGGGGATGGTGCCGCTGCTGAAGTTCCGCTTTACTAGCGTCGACAGGGAAAGGACTTAAGTTCAGGGCCACCCACCGGGACGCAACAGCTCCAAGGGGCCACCTGGAGCTGACTGTTGCCCCCATCCCAGGGGAGATAGCATCGTCCAACATGGGTAATGGCCCTCGGGAGTGGTGGCCACTCACTCTTGGTGACGCAGTGCTCGGCCGGCAGCAGACGCTTCTTCAGGAGGCCCTGCAGCACAGAGCGGACGGCCGGCCGGTGCACCAGCTGCAGCACGAACAGGTGGGACTGCAAAGGACGTGCAGGTCAGCGGGGTGCAGGCCCCCGGGGAACCCAGGAGACCCTGCACAGGCCTGTCCCACACAATCACTCCAAGGCCTCGAGCCTGCCCCCTGCTGTCTACACTGTGCACGATGGGTCCCAGGTTACATCCAGACCCCAAGCCCTTGGCACTGCCTCGGGCTGCCTGTCAGAGTGCAGCTGTCTGGGTCCCAGTGCCGACTGGAATCCAGGTGACCCGACAAGGACCAGGGCCAGCTAGGGACTCAGGTGTCCATGAGCTTCCTCCCAGAGAGACGCGGCTCAGCTTGGTTTCTCCTACGTGATAACGTGGGCATCAATCTAAGGACCACACCGAACAGGGAGGCAGCGAGGGTGGGTTTAACTGGGTCCCTCTTCTCAAAGGGTCGGAGGCCAGACGGAACAGGAATCTCCTGCAGCAGCGAGGCCCATGGCCGGCCCCGCCCACACACTCACGCAGCAGCAGGCCGTGACGGTGATCTGGATGGTGTTGCGGCCCGGCTGGCACACGTGCTTCAGGTATAGGGGCTTGTGGGAGGTCTTGTTGTCGCCGCGCTCGATGGTGAGTGGGGTGGCATTGACGCTGACCTGCACGGAGGCCGGCCAGTTGGTGTTCATCTGCCGGTCCTCGTGGTGGTAGCACTTGAACTGCAGCTCCAGGTCCGGCCTGTGTGGGAGGCCGAAGGCTAAGTGCCGGGCGGACATCAGGGGCCACGCGGTGGGGCATGGTGGGTGCAGCGTGCGCACCTTAGCATCAGCGTCCTGTAGACCGAGTCGCGAAGCTGGAAGGCGTGGTTGCTGACGGCCAGGTTGTGCTGAAGGCGGAAGGGTTCCAGGACCACCCCGTCCCGCACGGGGAAGGTCAGCCGCAGCTCATCACAGGGGCCGCCGCCTGCGAGCAGGCCACCCATCAGCACTGCCTGTAGCACGGCAGCTCGAAAGGGCCACCAGGCTGGGTGGTGGCAAGGAGACGGCAGCCATGGCGCTGGGTCCAGGCACCACCTCACCTGAGACCTTGGGCTCAGCCAACACCTCTGACAGTAACAGGCTAGCCCGGCCCGGTGTCTCCTAAATTATGACCTGAGAATACGCCCCAACCCACAACAAACGTGCTTCTGGTGCTTCCGGTGGGGTGGCCGAGGGGATGTCAACGGGCCACCTCCTGTCAGCTTGGTGCTCAACCTAGGGTTTTAGGACCCCAACTACAGGGATTCTGAACCAGGAGTGGGCTTTGTGGCTCATGACTCTAATCCCGATTTTGTGTGTGTGGACATTTTTCTAAAGAAGACCCACATCTGCAGCATCTGCAGAGAGGCCCACGGACAGAGATAAAGGACCCTGCCCCACGTTCCCTGCAGGACTCTAGGCCCCAGGAGCAGGTGACACTCACCAGGGGGTGATGGGTGTAAGGAGCTCACGCTGGGCTTGAGGTCAGGCAGGAAGGGAGACTTGACATCCTGGCTGGTAGACATGTAGGGGACGCCGCTGCCGGGGGTCATGGGTGGCGTGGGGCTCCCTGGCAGTGGGGAGCTGGGGTAGCCAGGGATGGAACGGGTGGGCTGTGGGTTCGAGCAAACAGTCAAGGCAGAATGGTGGGGCTAAGGTGTTTCTGAGCACCCGCCGGGAACAGTCAGAACATCAATGGGCAGGGGTGCCTGACTGGGCATCATACTGCCTCTTACCTGGGCGCCCTCTCCCCATACCCACCCCGGGAGCCTCCCGCCCTGTGCCCGGCTGCCCGTACCCCACTCAGGCCAGGCTGGCTGTAGCTGAGGCTCCCCCCGCTGAAGCCGGCGCCCTGCCCGGTGAACTGCTCGGCGGGCTGCAGGAGAGAAAGCCGCGTGTGCCCGGGGCTCCAGCCTGCCCACAGCCAGGGCCCTGGACTTGACCCTAGGAGACGGCTAGGGGCAGGGAGCCCACCACACACACGGGCCCAGGCCTTTATTGCCTTCTTTATATGCTTCTGTTTTCTAAAATAATGTACAGGGAGCATGCAGTGATTTCATAATTTAAGAGTCACCACTATAGAACGAGGCGACCCCACATTAGAAGCCATCGAGGGGCTGCACTCTCACAGCGGGTCCCTTCAGAACCAGGTACCCTCCTGGAGCTGCCCTGCCCTGCTCAGGACCCCTGTGCAGCCCCTGGCTGCGTGGTCACTGAGTGCACGCAGGCACCCCCCAGCAGGCCCAGTCTGCCTCAAGGTCATCTGAGTCCCCGTGTGTGGTGGGGGCTGCCACAGGTGCAGGAGGAGCTGGCCCTACCTTGTAGTGCAGTCCCGGGGGACCAGAGGTGGACAGGGGCAGCCTGTGACCAGCGTAGGAGGAGGGGGCAGGGGACTGCCCGGGGCCAGGTGCGTACTGGCCTCCTGGCAGGTACTGCTGCCCTGGATACACCTGAAAGACAAAAGAGGCAAAGGCCCAGGGGAGGGACAGGCATCAGGGAGGGACAGCAGCGCCCCCATCGGGCACGGCCTGTCCTCTCACATGCAGACTTGGACCTCCCGATGGCTCTGGGTGGCGCTCAGGGCAAGGCCCCGACACTCACCTCACTGGAGTAGGCTCTCTTGACCCCGTGTCGGGGCAGCGGCTGGGCCTGGGGGGGCCCAGGGTACCCGTGCTGGGGCAGGCGCTGCCCTGCATACAAGGGCGCCATGCCGGCTGCCCGGGTGGGGTTCATGCCCACGGAGCTCATGCCGGAAGGGCCCATCAGCCCTCCCACGCTGGCAGGGTTCATGCTGCTGGGGACGCTGGGTCCCCGAGGACCTCCGTGCTGCAGGAACTGGCTGTTAAAAGACTGTGCGGCCCCCATCTGGGAAGAGAAGAGAGGGGCCCTCGAGGCCCGCCCAGCGCTCCAGGCGCTGCCCTGGGCCCTCCCCTCAGCGCCTTGCTCCTGCCCACCCACACCCCCTCCGCCTCGCGCAGCCCGAGCATGGCTGCCCGCCTTCCAGAGCAGTGCCCGTGGCCTCACCGCTCCGTACTGGCCCAGCTCCTGGCCTTGCTTCTCCTGCAGGGCGGCCACGGTGGCCGTGGCAGTGGCGGTGGCGGTGGCAGCAGCAGCAGCCACAGCGGCGGCGGCCGCCGCTTGAGTGAAGTCTGTGGAGGGTCGCGCGGCGTGGGAGGGGAGGCCCAGGCCCCCCGGCCCCCCGGGGCCGCCATACCTGCAAAAGGCACAGGTGGCCCTGCTCTGAGGTGCTCTCCCAGGCCGTCCTTCCCCAGACCCCCGTGTTGACTGGGAGCAAACAAGTCCACCTGATCATCATCACAGCTCCCAGGTGCCCGCCCTTAGCGCTCCAGCACACCTGCCAGGTGAGCAGTCCCGCTTGCTTACCCGGTGGTGAAGCCCCCACGGCCATACACCCCCTGCTGCACGAAGCCCTTGCTGGCGCCGCCTTCACCAAATGCTGGCTGTCCCAAGCACTGCGGGGAGCTCAGAGCCGAGCTGCTGCCCGCCATGCCAGGCATTGTTGAGCTGCCGGGGGGGCTCCCTGCAGGGCCCATGGGGTTCCCCAAAACCTGTGAGGAAGCAAGAATCACCAAAGGGAACCATGCAAACAACTTGTTTCACAAGGTGGTTCCTAAGTGCTGGAAAGAAGGGGCGTGGCAGGTGAGGTTGCGGGCACAGGGGAGGGGCCTGGCAAGGGAGCGGCTCACAGGTAGAGTAGAGGCCAGGTGAACACAGGGGTGGATCTCAGCCTCCTGTGGAGGGAGAACTACTTTCCAGAGACCTGGACACCGGGAAGCTGTGGCTGCATTCCCTCTGAGGCCTGAGCTGGGCTCTGGCGACTTTCAGGGGCGGGGCCCAGGTGTGGGCTCACCTGGCTCTGTGCCGCGTTGCCCACTCCCCACACGGTCGTGACCACGGACAGCGATCCTGCCGGCTGAGTGGCACTCTGTTGCCAAGGCACGGCCTCATAAGCAAAGGGACCATCACTGCAAGGAGAGAGGTGGTAGGAGGCCTGATCAGGAGGCCTGGGAAGAAATGCAGGCTGGGGACAGAGGGGTCTGCTCGGCCACCCCGCCCATGTCCCTGTGGCCCGAGAGGGGAGGGCAGCAGGAGCCCCACTCACCCGTGTGGTGCGGGGGGCAGGGCAGGTTTCATGGGGTTCATTGGCTTGGGAGCAGCCCAAAGGCCAGGTCTGTGGGTGGCAGGAAGTGGCCCTCACGGGAGCTGACGTGAGGCTCAGCTGCTCTGGCTGCCAGGACGGGGGAAGAACAAGGACCACGTCAGCGGGGTGCAGTGGGGACCCTGTCTGCAGGGAGCAGGGCGCAGGCAGCCCCCCATACCTAGCCCTGCTCTCCTCTGCTTCCACTGATGGAGGGCAGGGCAGCTGAGACTGGGGCCCCAGGGTGGGGGCGGGGGGCTCAGGTCAGCCTGGCATCGCCCCACCCGGTCTGCCCATCCTCCAAACCCAGCCCGGAGCCAGCATTAACCCTTTCTGGCCAGGGCCTGCCACCTGGAGCCCCAAGAATGGCTCTGGAAGCAGGTTTTTGAATCCCAAATACTTCCCACACCGAGGCCTGGATAATCACAAAAGCCAGGGACACCCAGAGTCCCCGGAGAGCCTCTCAGGGCAGCAGGACGTGGCTCTGAGGCCAGGCAGGCACACCGACCCCAATTCCCAGCAGGACAGGGACACACACACAGCACCATGGGTGGGGGGTTGGCGAGCACCCAGGGACGTGGCCAGGGGCAGTGGGGACATGGCAGCAGTGGCCGGTGCATGCTGGTGGGGCCCGTGTGCCAATGTGGGCACTTCCTACTATGTGGGCTGGCCAGTCCTCCAGGCTGCCAGTGACCCGACACCCCCACAAGCCAGCCCTTCGCCAACAGGCCTGGGCCCCTTGCTGGCTCCCAGAGCCACCTTCTGTGCCCACCTCTGCCTGGCCTAACCAGAGGAGCGCTGGCTGTGGTTCTCAGGGGGACACCTGGGGGTCCCTCTTGGGGTCGAGGGTCATGCCTTTTACCTTTTAGGGGCTGCAAGGTCTCACACACAGACATGCCTCCAGGGACCCTCCTGGGATGTGCCCCAGCACTCATGGTGCTCCCCTCATGCCCAGGAGCAAGAAGGTGGCCCCAGTACCCACCCAACCCCAAGGCTCACATTCCTGAGTGCTGACAGGCAGCAAGGGAGGCAGGGTTACCATCCTGTCCTCTGCAGAGTCCCGGAGGCAAGCAGGGGTGACCCTGGCCAGGACCCAGAGCAGGTAAGGGCTGCAGCGGGTGGGGGGGTGAGGGGGTGGGGGGGAGGCTCTGTCTTGGGGGCATGTGGCCCTCACTGACCCATCCCACCAGAGTTCTCAGGTAAGCGGGTACCAGAGTCGCAGGAGGAAGGGAAGGTGACCCTCCCTTGGAGGAGAGAGGGAGAGGGAGGCAGTGGGCTGCTTGCCCACCTCACACCGGCCCTACCCCCTCCCAGAGGAGTCAGGGCCCAGGCTCCCCTCCTCTCCCCCCTCGCCCCATGCAAGTCCCACTCAGGAAGCAGAGGCCAGAAACAGTGCAGGTGCTGGCGCAGAAGGCTCAGGGGCACCTGGACTCTGGGCAGAGGCAGGACGGGGGGCCAAGATCGCCCAGCCCAACAGGGGAAGGCTGGCGACCCCAGGACCCACTGCCCAACGCTGGGACGGTGCCACTGGCAGTGAGGGGAGCCCTGTCAGCAGCCGGAAACTCCTCAGGCCTGCTGGGGGGCTGGAGCAGCGTGCAGGGTTTTCAGGAGTATTGATGGCTAATTAGGACTGTGGTGTTGGCGAGGGACAGAGCAGAGAACATCAAACAGACGCAACTGATTTCTGACAAAGGTGTACAAACTACACTGGGGGAAGAACGACATTCCAGCACGTGGTGCAGGGCAGCTGGACAGCCAGCCACAGGCCAGACCTAAACCTCGGCCTCACAGAAATCAGCTCGCAATGGGTCACAGAAGGAGTGCCCAAGACAACAAGAGAAAATGTTCAGGGAGTTCTGAAGGAGTGAGGGCTAAGGAAAAAGCTCTTGGATATGGCAGCAAAAGCACAACCCATAAAAGGAAAACCTGAAAACTTTTGCTCTGTGAGAGACGCTACTAAGAAGATGAGAAAACAAGCTACAGGCTGGGAGAAATATTTGCAAACCACGTTCCTGACAAGAATGGAATCTGGAATGTATTCTAAAAAAACTCCAGTTAGGAAATGGGCAAAAGACACGAAGAGACATTTCACCAAGGAGGACGTGCAGGTGCAGACGAGCCCAGGAGACGCCGCCTAGCATTCACGGGCCGTGGGGACATGGACATCGAAACCATGTGCGACGTCACTCACCCCGACCAGAGTGGCCGAGGTACAAAGCAGTGACACTGGATCCCTCCTACGCTGCGGGTGGGAGTGAGGCGGTGCAGCCCCTCTGGAAACGAGTCTGCCGCTGCTTCTAAAACTGAGCCTGCAGCTGCCTCCCGCCCAGAAACTCGCTCCTGAACGTTCATCTCCGAGCACCATAAACATGTTCACTTCTACATGAATGTTCATGGCAGTTGTACTCCTAACTGCCGAAGAATGAAAACCCATGTGTCCTCCAGGGGTCAAGGGCACCCAAGTGTGGAGCACACATGACTGAAAGCATAAAAAGAGTGAGCTGGTGCAGGCGCCAGCCTGAGGGGCTCTCCTGAGAAACGTGCTATGTGGAAAAAGCCAGTCCCCCAAGGCTGGCTACACACTGTACGGTTCCCTTCATGTAACATTCCTGAAATGAAGACAGTATAGAAACGGAGAACAGACAGTGGTGGACAGGGGTTGGAGGGGAACGGGCAGGAATGGAATTATCTGTCTGTCGCCTCATCCCCAGGCATCCTGCTGTGACACTACTACAGTTTTGCAAGATGCTACCCCGGGAGAGCCAGGTAAAGCACACACCGGGTGTTATTTCTTATTACTGCACATGAATCTAGAATTTATTACAAATAAAAACTTAAAAAACCACCAGCACTATCAGCCCTCTCTCTCCAGAGAGGCCCTTGGCACTCCTTTCCCACCTCGGGGCTGTTTGGTTTGGCCAGGTGGGGACGAGCAGAAGGCTGAGTCCCAGGGCAGAGGGCTTCCATTCTGGGCAGGCACCAGGACCTGGGGGGGGGGCGCGGGAGGAGGGGGACAGGGCAGGTGCAGGGTGGCCCCTACACCACGTGGGTCTGGGGAATTCCGCCCCCAGGCCTCTCTGCTGTGGATCAGACCACAGACATTTCCAGTTCCCCCAGAGCTGACTCCGCGGGGGTGGTGACTTCCTGCCTGCAGAGCTCCTGAACTAAGTCTGCTCTCCTCCCCAGGAGACCCGCACTCCCCAGGTACCTCTGCAGGTCCCCTCAGGAAGGGGGGCGGGCTGTCAGCATCGATCCTCCTCCTCCCTCCTTCCTGGAGGCAGAGCAGTGAAGGGAGCCCCTGCGAAGGAGTATGCAGGCCCGTGCCTGCCTGTACCAATTCCAGCTGGAAGCCAGGACCCCTTGGCAGGACTGCCGTGGCACTAGGTCAGTCTACAAGGCCACAGGGCTTTCGGGGATCAGATCACACCTTAATCCAGAAAAGGAGCTACAGACAAGTCACTACCCAGACCCCTCTTCCCCAGAACCTCAGAGCAGCTGCACCTCAGTCTCCTGCATGCCAACAAAAGGCGGCCATTAATGTGGGTCAGCTCTTCACCAGCTTCACTCTGTCCCCCTGCCTGGTCACCCAGGAGTGGCATGACCCGACCCCAGGAGGGCAGCCCGTCTCCTCCTCACAAGGCAGGGGTTCACTGACTCCAGCACTAGCAGGCTGCTCCAGAGGGCCGCACGTCAAATGGGGAGGACACGAAGGTGGCTGCAAGTCCTGTCCCCACTACCTGCGAGGCCACAGCGCTGCTAGCGCTCCCCCAGAATGCCCAGGACGGAGTGTTTATGAGTGGCCTGGGTGTGGGACATTTCAGAGACTGGCTGAAGGGCTCTGCCACTCTGAGCCTCAGTTTATATGTAAAATGGGTGCCTGGTGGCCAGCCAAGGGCTGAGGAGAGGGGAGGACATGTGACCACCTTTATGTCACCAGCCCTGGCTCCTGTCTTGGACACAGGTGCTAGCAGACGCTCCACGGGGAGGCCTGGCTGCCCTCGATTGAGCCAGTGACACGGAGTCCTCCCCAGGAAGTCCTGCCGGTCCCTCAGGAGTGGCTCTGAACCTGTCGTCCGCCATCTCCCCTTCCTCTTCCCTGAGTGCTATCCAGCCTGTAGCCATTCCCTGGGTGTGAGGCGTCCCCGCGGCCAGGCCCCACTGGCGGAGGTTAGGGTTCCCTGGCTTTTCCCGTTACGGCTCTCAAGCCTCCTCCGGGGAGGCCCTCTGGTCTGGCAGGCGAGTCTGCTGTGTCGCTCCCCTGGCCCACCCACCCAGTCTCATGCACTGAGTTTCGTGTTCTGTACACGTCCCCGCGAAACCTCCTGACAAACGACTTACAGACATCACATGGGTGTCCTGCAACTACGGGGAAGAGGCCGTGGGCACGATGGGGAGCAGGTCAGGGGTGCAAGGGGCACCAGGGCAAGGGGAGCAAGTCACAGGGGCTGGGGCAGGACACGCTCCAGCCTGAGCTTCGGGGTGTCCCGTTTGGAAAGAGGTGAACCCAGCGATCCACGGCTCGGGCTGCAAGGTCAGTGTCGCCCGCCCAGAGAGGACCTCGGCGGGCCCACGTCCCCGCGCCGGTGGGCGCGCACGGCCCTAGGTGAGCCCGCCGGCCACAGCGCGGAGTGGCGGCCGGTGGGCCAGGTCGGCGAGGCCGGGCAGCCTCCCGCACACCCCTGGGCGCTGGGCCGGCTTCCGGCCGCCACAACAAAGGCTCAGGTGAGGGTCGCCCGCGCTCACGAGCCGGCCGCCCGGGACCACGACGCACGCGCGGCAGGCCGGCTCCGGCTCCGGGGGCCCGGCAGAGGCGCCGCACCTGCCGCCCCGCA